CCATAATATACCTCCTGTTTTGGCCCGATTTTTATTTTCTGCGCGGGAACCATACATGCAGACGTTATGCAGGGAAAGATGACGACACCGGTCAGTAAATTGTTGGTCGATTTGTTGCCTACCTCGAGGCTAGTCGGTGAAATGAGGGCTTCCTTCTTCAAGAAATATGTTGCCAGTCGTTAGTCGGATGCCACTCGTCTTCTAAACATCGTACTTGATGCAACCAGCGCAGTTGGATGGACGGGAGGCGAGGAATTTATCGTTTTCGATTTTCACCCTATTCTTGTTTGCCATTACATTGCAGCTGGCAGCACCACGAGGGAATTTTTAGCACAAGGGAGACTAGGGGTGCGTTTGGTTGGTACGATCTAGAACAGGATCGAACAGCTGGTGCACATGGAGCAGCCTCATGCCAACCAAACGGTACTCCAGAAACAGAGCATATTTTTGTAAAAAATATGCCAAACTTGGTGCATTCTTCAAAATGTGTATGGGTCACCATCACTGATTTATTTATTTATTTATTCAACATCTCCTGGCCCGTCCGAAGACTGCCAATAAACATGAGAGGTCAGGTGGTAGCCAACCACGGCAAGCTAAAAGGGAGAAAAAGAAAGATGCTGTCAGAGAGGGAAAGGAGATAGGGAGAGAAAAAGAAAGGGAGGCACATTAGTAATACATGGGATCACTTCGGATGAGACAGTGTGGAAAGCTGGACTTTGAATTTCCTGATATCCTGGCATGTCTTAATGCTAGTAGGCAGGTTAGACCAAAGGGAGTATGCTGAGAAGAAAGGGGATTTCAAAAACAGAGAGGAACTAGCTCGGGGCAGTGATAAGGCATTGCGTGTTGGTCTAGTGGTAACAAACCAGTTGTACTTGGCAATATGTTTCGGGACTTGGGCTAGGTGATACAACGTGTGTACGGTACGACAAGTCCAACCCAAAAGCGTATACACGTGATCATTTGGGACCAAAATCGATGTTCCCGCCAGGTTTCACTGTGAAAAAGTGAAACTGCTCGGTCTGCTCCGGCCTCGAGGCCGGAGCAAGCAGAACATGTTCTGGCCGACCCAGAACAGGTGCAGTCCCAACCAAACGCGCTGTTCTGGTGAATCCTGTTCAAGTTCATACCAACCAAACGCACCCTAGGTGAATTCAACTCCTCAGAGATATCGCCATGACAGAGGTTATTTTAGCCCTAAAATTGTGTACAAACCAACGGCACGAAATTATGGAAATATTTATTTTTTCGCAATAATTGCATGTTGGTTGAAAAAATATAGCCATCTTTGTATTGTGGCATCCTGGCGGTGTATTTCGTAACTATACTGCATGACAATATTATTTATGAGAAATGGCAGGGATTGTGAACAATGTACAATCAACAGCATTGGCAAAATTGATGCAGAGCTGTATGGTACTTTAGTACAATTTGCCTGTATATGTATATAATATAACCTAACCAGTTGATTATATGGGAAATATAAACCTGTATACAAACCGAGGCGAAGCCGAGGTTTGTATATTGGTTTATATTTCCCATATAATCAACTGAGTAGGTTATATTATGCTTATACTGAGCTGATATACAAACTCCCCTCTCCCCCACAAGGGTAGAGATTGGAATTCCAACCCACAACCATGGCTCGACGAGTCTTCCTTTCACCAACCCAGTGCGGATCAAGTACAAGACTACCACTGACTCTGTGCAGTGCATGCAGTGCTAGTGCAGTACCATCACACACTCTTTGTGACTTCAGTTTAGTACTGAAGTACTAGTTACATCGGAAGTAACAGCTATGCGCCAAGTAAGTTAGTTTGAACCTCACAGTGCTAGTGACCGTTACCGCGCGCAGATCTCACCGCGGGCTCTGTAAAAGAACCGTTTGCTCATTAGACTTTAGAGACATAGAGTTCGTCTCCTTTCCAAAGTAAGAGTGAAATGAATCAGCACGAGCCTGTTGAATCGACTCCCAAACGTTTCTTCTGAGGACGACAACGAATCACGATGTCATTATTCAAGCAGCAGTTTCTAAGAACACTGGCAGTGCCACGGATTATGGCTGCGCATGTTCCGTCCGCTCTGCGAGGGACGCGGAAAGGAGAACATCGATTGGAAAACCATCAGTAGTGAAGTTCCGTCGCCCCTGCTATCTGCATTCTATGTCCATACAAAAACGCAGGAGGAGCGGCACGCGGGCCGGCCGCGGGGCTCTTCAGCCGCACGTGTCGAGTGCTGCGCTTGACAGACGGAGTGCTGAAACAGCGAAAGAAGGACAGCCTCGAACGTCAGGTGCAGCACATGGCACATGTTACAAGGACGACGTTGTATTCTTCATCGTTGACGGGAAAGAGATCCTGAAGTTGGGACCGTCGTGCATGTCGAAAAACCATCAAGGCGGACTGCAGGTCACTAGTGTAATCCTAAAAAAAAAAGGAGTTTATATACCAGTTTATACACCAGTCTATATACCAGTTTATATACCAGTTTATATTCTCGTCATCGAAGTACCGGTTATATGCAAAATACAAGTCTGGAGTGTTGTGTGGGGAGAGATGGGAGTTTGTATACAAGCTCAGTATAATGGTATTTTACACACAAAGTCACAATGCATGAAACAGAAGAGCAAAACTATTATTGACTTATCAATTTAATATAGTTAGGACATGAATATGAAACCCATGACCAATGCCAATGACCCAGGGTCTGTGCACCTGCATTCAAATATTATAAAAAATCCCCTGTGGCATATAAATCATGTACTCTGTGCATACTCATGCTTGGGGGGCGATACTTGCTGCTTTACATGGTAGAAAATGTGGCGCTATGCTGCTTGGTATGTGCGTGCGTGCGTGTGTGTGTGTCTGTGTGCGTGCGTGTGTGTGTGTGTTTGTGTGCGTCTGTTTGTGCACACTTCACTTTCCGGCTGTGTATTGATGCTATGTAGATATCACCATGGTCAACAGGGTCAAACGCTGCCAGCGGACAACAGTGGATCACCTCATTTCTCCCACTGGAGTGGTCCTAGCTTGAAGTGATGTATGACTATCACTTCTATTGACTAGGCTTGAGGCATGTACCAAACGTCAGCATGTCTGTGATATCAATACACCCCACTTACATTTGAAAGCTATATGCTGGAAGGCAGTCAAGTGGGCTTTTCGTCAAACACAACCCTACCAATGAAATGAAGGCAACGGGCAGAGACCACTAATGGTAGGGCCACACAAGGTGGACTGGCGGACTGGAGCTGCAAGTGGGTCCACTTACCAGCGAGTGGGCAGCCACTTCACGCTCCACAGGTAGTCCATGCTAAATTCCAGTACCAGTACTAGTATCACTACGTTCGACATCGATGTCTTCACTGACTTCAGCCTGCTTTTCTCACCCTTCTTCGTCAGTAATATAATTATATTTTGTTCTTCGTGGCCACATCGTACCGCTTCAACAAAGTTTTCACAAAAAAAATCAAGCAGCGTAGGAACTGCCTTTGTCTTGCATTAGCCATGGCCAGTGATTCTTTCCAGCGTAGAAACAGCCACGGCTACAGAAACACTGCAACGAGTAGAACTACATCCTGGAACAACTGCGAGCACAGAGAAATCAAAAAACTTCTTTCTGAACAACAGCTTGTTTCCGCATGGAACACAACATTTTTCGAATCTCGCGGCAAAAAACAGATTTCGGAGGTGCCCTTTTTGCACTGCGCTGCGCAACTGTTCGGAGCCTCCTTAAGATCTTGGTGATGGTGATCACCACTTGCACTATTGTAAAAAAACAAAAAAAAACTGCAGTACAGTACCAAAAGTACATAACCCCGGGGGGGGGGGGGTTATGAACTCTTTACAGTACCAAGCGTCCATAACGGTCATGGACTCTTGCCAGTAGATCTACGCACAGTCCAGTGGTACATGGGACATGTACATGTACATGCATGTCATTGTCATGTAGCTAGCTGTACATGTATGTTTTTATCCTCTCCGAGGCTCTCCAAACTACAGTGTAGTAGCAAGAGTACATGGGGTTATGTACTCTTGCTACTAGTAATCCAGATAATAATAATAATAACTTTATTAGGATGACCCAAAGGCTGACCGCCTATCGTGGGGTCCGTCGCATTGAAGGATGATGGTACAAGAGAGTACAGATTGGGAAAGGGGGGGGGGGGGGGGGGGACTACGATGAACAGGGTAACGGCATGCCAGCGAGTAGACCTGAATACTGACAAGAATGTTTGCGCAGCTCTCTCTTGAATACATATGGACAGGTGGTTGAAACTTGGAGATTCCCGCGGTTTGGGATCAGCGATTCAGCGGCGCATGCGAAATGTAGGCTAAAAGCCACGTGTTGACCAGGAGTGTACGCATTTCCCTTTTCGCACAGTGCGTGGCACTCAATCCGTGACTACAATCATTTTTGGCGCAGATCTGAGGCGGAAAATGGCGTAGTGCGTAGATCTACAACTGAGCTGCAGTTGTGCAGAAAAGAGACCTGCTTGAACGCACCAGGGAGTAGTACAATCAGGGAGTCGTAAAATACCGGTATTTTACGACTCCCTGAGTACAATATTATTGTATTGTACTACTCCCTGGTACGCACTACATCACTAAAATGATGTAATCACGGAATTCCGCCGTGACAGCAACCCTTCTTATTCCGAGCTGCACACTCTGGTTTTCATGTACTCTTGATTATACCAGTTTCTCCGAGTTCTGTTTTCTTCTTCTCCGAGAAGCTATAGAATATAAGAACGGCCCCTCAGGTCGCTGTTTTCAATGAAGTCGTGGCCGCCCGCCTTGTTGTGACAACAATTACCCTGTCTTCAGTGTTCTTCACCATGCCTGGCAAACTACCAGGCCAGACTACCAGTACGTAGATAATTACCTAGTACTTGTACGGTGGGCTGCAGTGTATGCTGCCCAAGGTACCGTAGCTGTAGCCTGCTCCTCTTCACCGGAACACACCACGCTGGTCTTGATTTGAATCAACCCCCCCCCCCCCCCGTTCAAAGCTTGCAGTGCTTCGACTTCGAATTTGAGGAAGCCGAGCGTCATGTCGAGGCCATCAAACGTCGGTTTCCAGTGTTGGAAAATCCGAGCATTGCTCCTTCGCGTGTTTTTGCTCGTGTGTGCGAATCATGCATGCAACCGTCCAGTAAGTGGTTTTGTGCTGGCAGACTCCGTCAAAGCCATTCACGTCTCAGTAAGTCCCAATACAACTCGACTGAGTGTGCTCGGAGACGCAGCATCCGTTGCAGGCATTCCGACCTCGGTGTCTCTCGTTGTCAGGCTAGTGTATTCAAACGGAAGCAGCAGTGAAGATGTGAGCTCACACAACGACACGACATTTAGCGTGAGCGATAACAGAATACTGCAGGTCTTGAAAAGACAAAGAGGAAGTGCGAGTGATGTGGTGGTCGAGTCTAAAATCCTGACGGCAGGTTTGAGCGTTGTAACGGTAAGGCACACATTGTTGTCTGTTCATAGCAATATCACCTTCTCAGTAGTAGAGGCAACATCACTGTCTCTACGAATCACCCCATACCCTGAGTATCCCGGTTCAACCAATGTTGATGCATCTAATCTAAATGTTATTGGTCATACAAACAAACAACAGCAAGGACGACTTTGGACAACAATGTCGTTAAGTGACAACACAACACTGGACATCTCGCAAAGCAGTAATCTCCAATACACCCTAACCAGTACACCAACCTCTCTTGCTAAAATTCAGAAGCTTTCAGCTTTTCATATTCTCAATACCCACAAGTTAAGTATTGATTATGCAAACATCTCAGTAACACTGAAGGGCAGTGCTGACGTTCCCCACAGTCCATTGACCGTTGAATTTGCAAACAATACTCTCTCAGTCTGTGCAATATTTGATCACAGCGTTGTGTCCTCATCATATTCACCACACGTTGTATATCACATGCCAGGTATAAATGCTATTACTCTCCATGGCTTGCCGACTCAGGCAGCCGCATCTTTTGATGGCGGCATGATTTTGTCAGATGGCACAGTACACTACGCCGTCAAAAAGGGAATTACACTTCGCAATACTGTGAATGTCACCAGTGAAAATGAGAACATTGCATACATCCGTAGTCTTAATGGGTATACACTTCTAAGGGCAAACCATCACAGTGCAGTCCGTGTGTCATTTTCTTCCAGTCTGAATGGGATAACAGCTGTACCACGCCATACCTATATCTATGCTAACCTTGATCCACAACCGGGTGATGTAGATATCGGATCTCGGTACGGTGCTCCATTGCCAGCTGTCGAGAACGGTACAAACTTCTCATTTCCTATGACTGTCAATGCGTTCGGTCATGTTCTTGGCATGGTTGATCTGACATTGCATTATGATGAGTCAATGACACTCGTACTGGCTACTGACCCTGTAGAACCCTTAAAAACGGATACATCAACTCCTGGGGAAGTCCGAATTAACGGAACCTTTTCTTCGCATGGCAGAGTAGGAAGTCGAGTACAATTGAGCAGTTTCACCTTCATGGCTGTGAGCTCTGGTGTTGCAAAGTTCAGTGTATTTATTACTAAACTTGACAAAAATTTAGGCGACTCAGTCGGCTCTCTTAATGGCAGGACATCAGTTGCTTCAGACGTGTCTATGGTGATTGGACAAAAACCAGTCCTAGCCCCGTTGCCTGCAAATAATGCACAGGGATTTATTTCGAGCAGCAGCTCAAAGTTTGTCATGGACAACATCTCAACATTAGTAATTCCAGAGGACACTAAAACTCCGTTTGTGTTGATGGAGTTCAATACAACTCAACCATGGTGTTATTCCAAATTCTTAAAATTCTCCATTTTCTCCGGTAACAGCATTCCACCTACGTTCAATATTCATCCGGCCACTGGGCAACTTTCAGTCATCAGAAATTTCGACCATAGGCATATCAACTTTTTCAACATCACCATCAATGTTTTAGACACTTTGACACCCAAACTTGTCAATCAGGTTCAGCTCAAGAATATAACTGTTCTGAAAGCAAATACTCCACCTAAATTTCCTCCTGGAAACCTATATAATTTGACAGTTTCAAAGTATGCCATGGCTCCTCTAAAACTTCTCGAACTGAATGCAACTGATGATGACGATATGGCAAGTCCGAATGGTTTCTTGAGCCACAGAATTGTTTCGGGTAACGAAAGTGGGAAGTTTGTAATCAATGTCACATCCGGTACTCTTTCACTCGTGAGGAGTCTCATTTCCGAATCTGACAATACAGTTTACCTTCTGGTTATTGAAGTCAGGGACCATGGCCTGTTTCCTAATTCAGTGAATGCGACAGTGACAATTCGTGTGGTTGACGTACAAATGCTACTTTCTACAATGTCTGGTGTAAAGAGACTTAGCATACAGAAAGGCTCTGCAGCAAGTGCTGGCGTGGTGTCAGATGTAGCGCTAACTGCTAACTTGGTTTTCGCTGATGGTCGAATAGTGGATTGCACAGTGCAGACTTCAACAAGATTTTCTCTCAATCCCCTTTCTAATGTGCTATCAATAGCGAGGTCTCCCACAACTCTTGTTCTCAGGTCTCAGGATATTGTTGGCAATTCCACAGTCAGAGTTTACAACTCGCAATACTTTCTAGAAAATTCTACATTATTCTCGGTAGTAGAGGCAACATCACTGTCTCTACGAATCACCCCATACCCTGAGTATCCCGGTTCAACCAACGTTGATGCATCTAATCTGGATGTTATTGGTCATACTGGTGGTGAACAACAGCAAGGACGACTTTGGACAACAATGTCGTTAAGTGACAACACATCACTGGACATCTCGCAAAGCAGTAATCTCCAATACACCCTAACCAGTACACCAACCTCTCTTGCTAGAACTCAGAAGCCATCAAAGAAAGATTTTTATATCCTCAATCGAAACCCATCGTGTTCCTCCACCTCCAGATGTGGTATAGGCTCTGTGAACATCTCAGTAACACTGAATAGCAGCAAATCTGAAGTTCCTCACAGTCCACTGACCGTTCAATTTGCAAACGATACTCTCTCCGTCTGTTCCATATTTAATCACACAATTGAACCCACTTTGTCTTCACTGCACACGACGTCGCAAATGCCTTGGGTCAATGCTGTTTCTCTCAGAGGCTTGAACAATATGACTGCTGCAATTGCAGATTGTAGTGTGATTTTGTCAGATGGCACAATTATATATGACACCAAACAGATAGGAAATCTCACAGCTGCAGTGAATATCACCAGTGAAAATGAGAACATTGTATTCATCAACAATCTTAATGGGTATACACTTCTAAGGAGAAACCATCACAGTGCAGTCCGTGTGTCATTTTCTTCCAGTCTGAATGGGATAACAGCTGTATCACAACATTCCTATATCTATGCTAACCTTGATCCAGAACGAGGTGATGTAGACATCGGTTCTCAGAATGGCGTTCCATTGCCAGCTGTCCAGAACGCGACAAACTTCTCATTTCCTCTGTATGTCAATTGCCCCAACCTCACTCTTGGCATGGTTGACTTGACATTGCATTATGACAAGTCAATGACACTCATTTTGGATACCAAACCTGTCCAGTCCCTACAAACGGATACAGCATCAACTCCCGGAGAAATTCGAATTCACGGAACACTGTCGTCAAATGTCACTAGAAAAGGAAACCGTATACTTTTGTGCACATTAACATTCAAGGCTGTGAGCCCTGGCATTGCAAAGTTCAATGTTTTCATAACACGACTACTTTCACTCAAATTAAAACAGCCAATTAGCAGTCTTGAGGGTACGAATTCGATTGCTTCAGACGTTTCTATGGTGATCGGACCTAAACCGATCTCGACTCCTCTGCCTTTGAACAGTGCAACCGGATTTATTTCCGACAGCAGCTCAAAGTTTGTCATTGGCACCATACCATCATTAGTAATCCCAGAGGATATTAAAACTCCGTTTGTGTTGATGGAGTTCAAGGTAACTCAGCCAAAATGTTACTCCCAGTTCTTAAATTTCTCCATTTCCTCTGGAAACAGCATTCCACCTACTTTCGATATTCATCCCTCCACAGGGCAACTTTCAATCATCAGAAATCTGGACTACCGACGTACAAACCTTTACAACCTCACCATCGATTATTACGACACTTTCATATCCAAACTTGACAGCCAAGTACGCCTTGAAAGCATAACTGTTCTGAAAGCAAATATTCCACCTCAATTTCCTCATGGTAACCTTTATAATTTGACAGTTTCAAAGTATACCATGGCTCCTCTTGTACTTCTCGAACTGAATGCAACTGATGATGACGATATGGCAAGTCCAGACGGTTTCTTGAGCTACAAAATTGTTTCTGGTGATGAAAATGGAAAGTTCGTAATCAGTGCAACATCTGGTGCTCTTTCCGTGGTGAAGAGTCTCATTTCCGAATCAGACAATACAGTTTACCTTCTGGTTGTTGAAGTCAGGGACCATGGCCTGTTTCCTAATTCAGTGAATGCGACCGTGACAATTCGTGTGGTTGACGTACACATGATACTTTCTACACTGTCTGGGGTAAAGAGACTTAGCATACAGAAAGGCTCTGCAGCAAGTGCTGGCATGGTGTCAGTTGTAGCGTTAACTGCTAACTTGGTTTTCGCTGATGGTCGAATAGTGGATTGCACAGTGCAGACTTCAACAAGATTTTCTCTCAGTCCCCTTTCTAATGTGCTATCAATAGTTAGGTCTCCTACAACTCTTGTTGTCAAGTCTCAGGATGTTGTTGGTAATTCCACTATCAGAGTCAATAGCGCAAAGTACTTTCTAGAAAATTCTACATTATTCTCGGTAGTCAAGGCAACATCTCTGTCTCTACGAATCACCCCATACCCTGAGTATCCCGGTTCAACCAACGTTGATGCATCTAATCTGGATATTATTGGTAATACTGGTGGTGAACAACAGCAAGGACGACTTTGGACAACAATGTCGTTAAGTGACAACACAACACTGGACATCTCGCAAAGCAGTAATCTCCAATACACCCTAACCAGTACACTAACCTCTCTTGCTAGAACTCGGAAGCCATCAAAGAAAGATTTTTATATCCTCAATCGAAACCCATCATGTTCCTCCACCTCCAGATGTGGTATAGGCTCTTTGAACATCTCAGTAACACTGAAAAGCAGCAAATCTGAAGTTCCTCACAGTCCACTGACCGTTCAATTTGCAAACGATACTCTCTCAGTCTGTTCCATATTTAATCACACGATTGAACCCACTTTGTCTTCACTGCACACGGCATCGCAAATGCCTGGGGTCAATGCTGTTGCTCTTAGAGGCTTGAACAATATGACTGCTGCAATTGCAGATTGTAGTGTGATTTTGTCAGATGGCACAATTATATATGACACCAAACAGATAGGAAATCTCACAGCTGCAGTGAATATCACCAGTGAAAATGAGAACATCGTATTCATCAACAATCTTAATGGGTATACACTTCTAAGGAGAAACCATCACAGTGCAGTCCGTGTGTCATTTTCTTCCAGTCTGAATGGGATAACAGCTGTATCACAACATTCCTATATCTATGCTAACCTTGATCCAGAACGAGGTGATGTAGACATCGGTTCTCAGAATGGCGTTCCATTGCCAGCTGTCCAGAACGCGACAAACTTCTCATTTCCTCTGTATGTCAATTGCCCCAATCTCACTCTTGGCATGGTTGACTTGACATTGCATTATGACAAGTCAATGACACTCATTTTGGATACCAAACCTGTCCAGTCCCTACAAACGGATACAGCATCAACTCCCGGAGAAATCCGAATTCACGGAACATTGTCATCAAATGTCACTAGAAAAGGAAACCGTATACTTTTGTGCACATTGACATTCAAAGCTGTGAGCCCTGGCATTGCAAAGTTCAATGTTTTCATAACACGACTACTTTCACTCAAATTAAAACAGCCAATTAGCAGTCTTGAGGGTACGAATTCGATTGCTTCAGACGTTTCTATGGTGATCGGACCTAAACCGATCTCGACTCCTCTGCCTTTGAACAGTGCAACCGGATTTATTTCCGACAGCAGCTCAAAGTTTGTCATTGGCACCATACCATCATTAGTAATCCCAGAGGATATTAAAACTCCGTTTGTGTTGATGGAGTTCAAGGTAACTCAGCCAAAATGTTACTCCCAGTTCTTAAATTTCTCCATTTCCTCTGGAAACAGCATTCCACCTACTTTCGATATTCATCCCTCCACAGGGCAACTTTCAATCATCAGAAATCTGGACTACCGACGTACAAACCTTTACAACCTCACCATCGATTATTATGACACTTTCATATCCAAACTTGCCAGCCAAGTGCGGCTTGAAAACATAACTGTGCTGAAAGCAAATGTTCCACCTCAATTTCCTAATGGTAACCTTTATAATTTGACAGTTTCAAAGTATGCCATGGCTCCTCTTGTGCTTCTCGAACTGAATGCAACTGATGATGACGATATGGCAAGTCCAGACGGTTTCTTGAGCTACAAAATTGTTTCTGGTGATGAAAATGGAAAGTTCGTAACCAGTGCAACATCTGGTGCTCTTTCCGTGGTGAAGAGTCTCATTTCCGAATCTGACAATACAGTTTACCTTCTGGTTGTTGAAGTAAAGGACCATGGCCTGTTTCCTAATTCAGTGAATGCGACCGTGACAATTCGTGTGGTTGACGTACACATGATACTTTCTACACTGTGTGGGGTAAAGAGACTTAGCATACAGAAAGGCTCTGCAGCAAGTGCTGGCATGGTGTCAGATGTAGCGTTAACTGCTAACTTGGTTTTCGCTGATGGTCGAATAGTGGATTGCACAGTGCAGACTTCAACAAGATTTTCTCTCAGTCCCCTTTCTAATGTGCTATCAATAGTTAGGTCGCCTACAACTCTTGTGGTCAGGTCTATGGATGTTGTTGGCAATGCCACTGTCAGAGTCTATAGCGCAAAGTACTTTCTAGAAAATTCTATATTGTTCTCGGTGGTAGAGGCAACATCTCTGTCTATGCGAATCACCCCATACCCTGAGTATCCCGGTTCAACCAACGTTGATGCATCTAATCTGGATATTATTGGTAATACTGGTGGTGAACAACAGCAAGGACGACTTTGGACAACAATGTCGTTTACTGATCACACAGTAAGTGATATGTCGATGAATGGAAACCTGAAATTGATCCTCACCAACAACTCTCACCTGGCTAGTTTGGGGAGGCATCTATCCTCTGGTTATTATATTATTACTCCCAGTGGTACCGGCATTGGAAATGTCCTGATCTCTGCAGCTCTGTCTGGCAAGGTCTCAGTTCAAACCCCGTTGTCGGTGAACATCTCAAAAGATGAATTGGCGGTATGCGCTTTGTTCGGCATGACTGTCCGCACGGGTGGTCTCTCAGCCAATGCTCTGGTTCGTGTCGATGGGAGCACCGCTGATTACATACTTCGCAACACGACAGCTCACAGCCATGCCATTGCGCACGCGGATGTGCACATTATACTTGAGGACGGCACTGTGTATTACGATGTCTTGAACTCGGCCGGTTTGAAAAATGTAATCAATTTGACGAGCAGCGCGCCGACCAGCATTTCCATCAATCGCAGCACCGGGCATGTGACTTTACTGAGCAGCCAGCACTATCCCAACCCTGTTGTATTGCACGCCAGTGCCAAGTTTGGTGACATCACCGCCCCTCCAGCGACCATAAACCTGTATCCATATATTGGCCCGTTCCACAATTCTTCTGCATTGAGAAGTCTAATGAGTAGATTGCTGATCCACTCTCAGGCAGAGATGTCACAAATTCTGCATGGGCGAACCCCAAATATCAGCATCAATGTTTCGGAGGACGCAGCACAGCAAAGCAGATTGTTCCAGTTGAACCAATCGAATTTCTACACCTGCAATGTTCCAGACATATTCCAGTATCAGATTATCGCTGGCAACCCTGGCTCTCACTTTAGCATTGATCAAAACACTGGTGTTCTTTCCTTAGCCAAACTTCTAGACCGAGAAACAGCCTCAGAGCTCAAACTGCTGGTGGCACCCAAATACCGTGGTGCACTGTTGATGCAATCAGCCATTGCAGTTCAGATTGCCGTGACAGACGTGAATGACCAGAGTCCTGCATGCGTCCACAAGCAGACCAAGGCGTTTGTAGCGGGCGTCAATAGTACAGGGAATGCGGCATCTCTTCCTGGCACGGCTCTCACTGTTCTTCTTGCTGAAGATCAAGACGTCGTTGACGAAGGTAAACTCACCTATTCCATAACAGCCGGTGATCCAAACAAGCAGTTTTCCATTGACAATCGAGGAGCTCTTCACACGGCGTCCTCACACAATCTGTCCGGCGCACACGTCACCCAGCCACAGCATCTAGTGGTACAGGTCACAGACACAGCCGACCACTATACACTATGCCTGGTTGACCTGGTCTATTACTACAGCAGCCACCTGGTACTGGTACCTATCAGCCACAATGGCAGCAGCAGTGCAACATTCAATGCGACTGCCTTCGAAATCCAGCTGTCCGCCGCGCTTAGCAGTGCACTCCACAAGGCGGTTTCGGTTCATGTTCACCGTACGGTTTCAGACACCCGCACATCACCACCACTGTAAGTTCATTGTCCTGCATAGTCGAAGTGGTTGGCATGGCAGTGTTGCCTTGGTGATAGCAGCAGAAGAAGTGGGGAGTTACAGTGTTTGAGCAACTGAATTTGACACTTTCAGGGAAGCTCTAGTTTGAACGAAGCATTTTTACTGCATGTGCTTTTGCAGTTTAATTTATTGAAGTAAATAGAAAACCGTTTCCATGGAGACAAGAACGATATTTTACACGCACAAAATACAGTTGGACATTGATCACATTTGTTACAGCATTGGCCAGTGTTAGGTATTGTTAAACAGCGTCGTACGTCATTAAAATTGTCGCTTATTCTTCAAATTTATTTGGTCCACTTCAAGGGCAAAGAAATCAGCTAGGAATTGAGGCAGAGCATTGTCGACAGACCGAGCTTTAGTTTGTGGCCTCCCGCTTTGCTGCACTTGCAGCTAAGCTCGGCGTCTTAATCAGAGTTCTACGCATACCCTTCAGCACTCAACAATACGCTGAGCCAGGCGCGCGTTCAAATTCAGGTCATGAAACTTCGCTTTCAAGCGATACATGCCTCCAAGTGGCAGGCGATGACGGCAAACTAAAATCTTTCAAGTAAACTGTAACAACCTTCCAGCGGGACAGGGTAAGCAGTTCCGCACCTTCTTTCCTTGGCAAGCGCTTCGCTGAGTTTGTTGGTGTTCTCAGAACTGCTACCTTTGCAGCAATATGCGCCACGCGTATGGCATTTTAGGAATTTGAGAACACTTTGTTCTTGCCCTCGTCAACTTCAGCATTTTGAATTCAGGAGAGATACCAGGACTCTTATACCCAAGCTTGCAGTCTTGATAAATGCCCACGCAAACGATGTGGTGAAGCACGAACTCCAGAAAAACGACACACGCTCTGGGGCCGAATAGTGCAGAGCGCAATGAATTTGTTTGGTACGGAAGAGAGCTCCGACAAAGTCCGATACCACCACAGCTTCAGTAACAAGTAGACATTGCCCAGGAAGGGCAGCACCAGTGTTCAAACACAGAACACAGCGATTCCGACAGTCTGACTGAGACGAGCAAGTCATAAACATTGCGATGTGTGAAACGACAATTTTAATGGCGCGGAGGAAGTAATTTTAGTGGGGTTTTGCCAGTTTGTTTTGTTGTTGATTATTTTGATTTTTTAGTTCGATATTTGTGGGTGGAGTATGTCTATCAAACTGAGCATGAGCATCTGTTGTCTGTTTTACCCTCCTTGTGCATATGCTTACAGGCGGCGTGCTGTAATCTACGCCATCGACTCCGCCATGTCAACGGGCTACTCCACCGTGTTCTTTCAAGGCAGCCTGATTGCCACTGCTCTTAAGAATATCTCCAGCGACAAGTCCCACCACCATCTGGCAACCGGTCTGTTCCTAACTCCAGACGCTATAGGCACATTCAAGGTACATGAAAACCTCTTTAGGACGAGCGCCAATGAACCAATGGTGTTTGTTCTCAAAAACCAGAGTCTGTCTTATCCATACTTTGAACAAAATGAATACACAGTGATCTATCCAATAATGGACTCGGATGGAGAGCCAAAGGATAAATTCATAGGAAAGAAAAAGAACCAAGGAACTACAAGTTCCGCTATAATGTCCACTAACCATGTTATCACATGAGCTGATTGGTTAGTAACTGGTGGTGTTAGTGGACATTATACCGTAACTTGTAGTTCCTTGGTCCTCTTTTTTTCTTCTACGAGAGAGCTTGGAAGCTCAGGGCCCTACGCTATGCTTTTTTGCCTTGATGACCTCGGCAAAAATAATTTTTTCATTTCTCCTATTTTTTTAAGACATAACCTGGGATTCGAACCCGCACTATCGCCCTGCATGCATCCCCCGATACACTTCGCATACATACTAATTCTTCCAATTGCTTCACGTTATGGTCTTGCATTTGAAAGCCCTATTTGAATATCGTGGCCAGCTGTTTGTGGCCGGCCAGCCGTCTTTGATGGTACGGTACAGGAAAGATACGGTCGAGGGTAATACGACACCGTCTACCGACCTGTGCAAAAAAGCATGGAGATGTCATAAATTTTTCAATTCTCCTATTTTTTCAGGCATAACCTGGGATTCGAACCCGCGCTATCGCCTACATGCATTCCCCAATACACTTCGCATTCATACTCATTCTTCCAAGTTGCTTCACGTTATGATCTTGCGTTTGAAAGCCCTATTTGAATATTGCGGCCAGCTGTATGTGGCCAGCTGTGTTTGATGGTACGGTACGGTACGGGACAGATACCGGATAGCGCCAGGCGTGACACAAACACACAAACAAACAAACAAATACCAAACGACTCTTGAACGAGAGAGCTTGGAAGCTCAGGGCCCTACGCTATGCATTTTTGCCTTGTTGACCTAGACAAAAAAAGCATAGGGATGGTATAAATTCTTATAAATTTCTACTTTTTGTTTTAGACATAACCTGGGATTCTAACCCGCACTATCGCCCTGCATGCATCCCCAGATACACTTCGCATACATACTAATTCTTCCAAGTTGCTTCACGTTATGATCTTGTATTTGAAAGCCCTATTTGAATATGCATTGTGGCCAGCCGTCTTTGATTGTACAGTACGGTACGGGACAGGTACGGGACAGGTACGGGACAGGTACGATTGAGGGTATTACGACACCATTCTACCGCCTTGATGACGGCAAAAAGAGAATAGGAATGTTATACATTTTTCAATTCTCCTATTTTTATCAGGCATTACCTGGGATTCGAACCCGCACTATCGCCCTACATGCATTCCCCCATACACTTCGCATTCATACTCATTCTTCCAAGTTGCTTTATGATCTTGCGTTTGAAAGCCCTACTTGAATAGTGCGGCCAGCTAAATTTGGCCAGTTGTGTTTGATGGTACGGTTCGGTACGGGACAGATACGGGATAGCGCCAGGCATGACACAAACACACAAACAAACAAACACCCAATTAAAGCTGTGTGGACCCTGGCTAGCGCCAGACGTTACTGAAGTAACGTCTTCTGCATAGCTACGGGAATTAAAGCTGTATGGACCCTGGCTAGTGCCAGACGTTACTGAAGTAACGTCTTCTGCATAGCTACGGGAATAAAATTAATTTATCAAATTAATAGTAATGTGAATACTACAGTCTGTTTCAAAAAGATTTACTTCAAGAAATACAATCAGGTTTGGGTCTTAAAAAGTATGAAGATAAGGGAAATGTGGACAACAAAGTACATAGAATGGCTTGTTAGGACACGGCAAATTGTGAAGGTTTCGGAACAATTCGACCAACCGTTAAGGAGTTAGAATTTCGGCCAGGTTTCCGGCCTTTTCCCATGGTTTACAATTTGCCCAGGAAGCCAGTATCGATTTTTTTCAAAACCCACGATTTATCGTTTCCTTTTTGGCCCTGTGGTTATGAATGCTGTCTGCTGACCATGAAGTTGTGAGTTCAAATCCCAACCTATCCTCAAGTCAAAACTTTTTTTTCATTGTTTTGGTGATCAAGCTGGTACAAGGCAAAGAAGAGGGCTGCACCAAACGACTTGTTGGAGCTCGCGTTTCCTGCCGAACTGCCTGACACTTGACTGGCTCACGCCATGTGAACACACCCACAACACTGCAATGGTGTGAGTAAATTATAATGGAAGTCATCACGCTGTAGCTTTTTGAGATTTATTTTACTATTTCAAGATCGCCAATTAAAGCAGTCAACGCCGTCTTCTATCAGCGTTCACAAGCGTCTTCTTTTCTGAGAAATGTCGTCGAAGTCACACGGACAGCTTTGCCAAGTCATGGCCTTGGGAATGAGTCCGTGTCGATGTCGTTTTCGTCACGTGGTGAGTAAATTGCATCGCAGCTCAAAGAAACTATTTTTTATTTTTTTCAAAGAAACTATTTTGGTCACAAAACGAATTGGGACGACCCATGCAGCTCGTCAACATTTACAACACTTTCGTTTCGACATGTCCTCTCTGACTCCATTATCGATACGAGGAAGAACTCGTTTGTTGTAAACCAGACGTACATGACTGTATCAACGTGAGCGAGTTGTCATTTTTCCTGCTTTCGCGCGGAATGTTTCTTCGAGTTCACAGTGAGTTTTCCAGGCAGCGCTCAAGTGCTCATACGGTAAGACGCCAAACTCCGCGGGCGATCGCCAGGATTGTAAATCTTTTTGAAACGGACTGTAGTTCTTCGGAAGCGATATTTGGTCTTATCAGAGAGTACTTCTCAACGGGGGTTCACTTTATGTGCTGTCTGGAGACGGACCCTATTTCCATGAAGCTGGCAGAGTGAAAATACACTTTACCCTCGTTCCATTGCAAACTTGCCATGAACATGGTATCATGATAATTATATTTAATTGAACTCGGATAGTGAGCCAGTAATAAAAGTCAAATAGAAGAAGAAAACGCAAGGTAACGAGGTACATGTATGAAGCGACCAGCCATGACTGTAACAAGATAATAAGCAGTCAGAAAATTCGATAACAGGGCCAAAAAAAGACAGGTTTAATACTGAAACATTGAACAACCTGAGACCTAGCTCTAACACATCTCCAGTGCGCAAACCAACAGCCCTCCAATCTTCTTCAATCCTACCTACCATATTTTCCGGAGTATAGTGCGCACTTTAGAAATGCTATTTTAGGCCCTAAATTGCAGGTGCGCACTATGCTCCGAATATGAAATGCATGTACTTCAATGAAGATTGAAGTGGGCACCCCCAATGAAGATTGGGGGTGCGCACTATACTCCGACAAATACGGTAACCATGAACCTTCCAAGGTCAGATGCAGTCGAGAAGTTGCCAAGACCTCGTTTACACGACAACGATTGAAAAACGTTTTTGTCAAAAACGTATTCAAAAGGATACGCTTCCACAGATTTTGATAAGAGCGTTTACACGACAACGCTGAAAAACGTTTCAAAAACGTTTCAAACGAAAAACGGCCTTCAAAGTGTTTTTCAATCGTTTCCGTTCAGTTTCGTTCTCGTGTAAACGGCAAAAACGTTTTACTAGTACCAAGGGCACATTATGTACTCTTGCTAGTACGAGCCTTGTACTCAAAACATGCCGCCGCCAGCTGCACCAGGCCAACTTAATGCACGTGACCATTGCTCGTCGAAAAACACCTTGCAGTGTACCCGCTTATTGTTTTCGTGTAAACAGCAAAACATTTCGAAAACGATTGAAAAACGTTTTTCAATCATTGTCGTGTAAATGAGGCCTAAGTCTTTTGACTTGGTGCTATGCAGGTGCAGTTCCGCAGCTCTAATTGTTCACACCGTAACTTCTGCTGCTGTTTAGCCCTAAGTCAAAATCCTTCGCAACTTGCCGCTGTGCACCTGACTTGTAAGCTATGGTTCCCCTCAGTATTTCCCACCTTGCTTCCCCTTCTGATCAGGCTGCCCGATTTGGCGCCATCAGCTGCCTGATGATCGTAGTAATATGTGAAACTCAGAGTCAATTTCTTATTACTTGTCGGTTTCAATGTGTATGTCTGTGAATGTCTGTGCGTATCGGCGTGTGTGTATGTGTGTGTGTGTGTCACTCTGTGTGTGTCTGTCTCACTATGTGAGTATGTGTGTGTGTGCGTGCGTGCGTGATTATGTGTGTGTGTGTCTGTGTCTGCGTGTGTGTGTTTCCGCATGCATGTGTGTGTGTGTGTGTGTGTGTGTGTGTGTGTGTGCATTTGTGCATGTGTATGTGTGTGTGCGTGTGTGTGACCATTTCGCAGCCCGAATTATCAACTTCTGACGTGGGCATGCATGGAGAGAGTACACCGCCAGTCTCTGACCTGCAAGTTGGACTAATTTCCGTCATTTCTGTCCTCTGCGCAACCATGATGGTCATGGTCGTGTACATTCGCACCCTGCGAACATCAAAGTGAGTATTTTTTATACTGCACAAACATCTGTCACCTGGGCTTGGCGGGGCCGAGCACAGACGAGCATTACAAATCTCTCTCTCTCTCTCTCACTCTCTCTCTCTCTCCTCACAAACAGTCTCATTTCCTGTGAATGTGAGCAGTTACTTGAAGTGACTTTAAATGAAACATTTCTCTAAACTGTCATTTATCGATCATAATCAGGGTGAGCACCAAAATATTGCAATTGCATCTCCCCAACCATACACATAATTGCAAAAAGAATGCCTTTACACTTGGCTACTTCGCCTGGCACCCTTCCCCTGTCTCCTGCCACACGACAATCTTCTCACTCGTTAGGTTTTGACCAAGTTCGTTTACAAAGAAAAACACAAGTTGGCGGCGAGAGACCAGGGAAAGAGACAACAAACAAATACAAACCCAACTCATAAGTAGCGACATACTCTTGACAGTAATTGCGTGAAGGACCTGAGCAATATTCCGGAACAAAGTTTGACCAAGTTCGTTTACGAGTAGCGACAAACTCTTGACAATAATTGCGTGAAGGACCTGAGCAATATTCCGGAACAAATTCTCAAAAAGCTCCAGAGAATTTTGAAATATTTCAAAAATGCCACGCGTCTTTATTTTTGAAATGGACTGTAGTAGACTAACATTTCTAACTAGAGAGAAGAGGGAACGGACCGAAACGACCAATGAGATACCAGTACGTACAATACGCGTGAGGAAAACGAAGACAATGACACCACAGACAAATCACTCCCCTCTATCTCTCTCTTTCTCTCTCTTCCTCTCTCTCTCTCTCTCACACACACTCACTCCCGTGCCTCTCTCTCTCTCTCTTTCTCTCTCTCTTGCTCACTCTCGTGCCTCTCTCTCTCTCTCTCTCTCTTTCTCTCTCTCTTGCTCACTCCCGTGCCTCTCTCTCTCTCACTCACTCCCATGCCTCTCTCTCTCACACACACACACCCACACTGCTCCTAGTACTACTGCTACTACTACTATCAATCAGCTACCTCAGTGGGGTAATGCAGCCCTCCACTCAGAGAACTGAGCGCACGGTGAGGGGCAGTGGCGCAAAACAAAACAGGAAGTACAGCAGAATAAATTGAAGAAAAAGGAAATCAAAACAACCTGCCACACTGATGGAAAAAGGATTAACAAACAGATGAGAACAAACAGAGGAGGGGAAAGAAATATCACAAACCAGATGAGCAGCCTGCAGTAGATCCACAACGCGAAGGCTGAAAAGAAACAAAAATAGAATGTGAACATGATGTTCTGTTCAACGATAATGTCTGTACGAATACCACTTCAGCCTTCGTGAACCAGGAAAGCACAACCTTGAGCTGGAGGATGAGCACCGACCGTCCCACAAGGGCTCCACAAGACGTACTTCACCGAGCTACGAGGAGTGTGCACAGCAATCTGACAAAACTACACCATCGCCGCACAACGACTGGCCACTCGGGTTCAAACAAAACAGGTCACGACAAATAATTCCACATTTCAGCGATGCATGACGCAGGAATAAGTTACTGCGAGTCATATCAGTGCGACCTGTTTCTCCTCTCATCCAGGAATCCCACTTGCTTTGTCGAAACGATGCAGTGGACACACGCACGCGCACACACACACACACACACACACACACACACAGCACATGCTCCTCATAACCTACAAATGCACAACATTCAGTGGACACAAATACACTCAAACCGGCGGAAGCAGATTTCACACATTCTCTAACAACCGTGTACTCTGTCATGGCCCCCATTCCATATTTGACACACAGCACACCTTACCCATTGGCACAATACTGTAAATCAACTAATTTTCGCTGACAATTTAATTTCGCTGATTTCGCCGCTTGGTACCAACCGGCCAAATTAAATCGCAGGCCAAAGTTTGTCACAGAGGCAAATGATGCATAATTGAGCCATGGATGCATGTGACAGCAACAAATACCGATTGATTTCTTTTTGAAAACCCCAATCGGCCACAGTTTAATGACGGCGAAGTTTCGTTTCGAGATCGGCCAACGTTTGTTGATTGACAGTAGACGATAATATTATTATGACTTACAGGAACACCATTATACCACAGCGTGCGAAAAAATAATAAGCTTTATCACATGGCACGTAATTGTTGCCCGTACTCCAGCGAATCAGCACCTTTCGCGCCGCGGGCAATAATATGCGATATTGCCCGCAAAAAAATAGTTTATTTGCCCGCAAAAAAATAGTTTATTTCAGTGATCGCGTGACTACGATCGTACGACGACTCTGTAGACTGTACGACTCTACGACGAGTCGCAGTGTAGCATTGAGACGAAGATGGAATTCTTCGTGGAGATGGACATGGCCTCGGACGTCTGCCGTGTGGTGCTTGCAGGGATCATTTGTTCAGTCATGTTGGCAGCCTGACCGTCGGTAAGCTTGTGGTTAAGATTCAGTTCTGCTCGAAGTGGTACTGTGATCACAAACAATTATTTGAAATAACACAAATTCAACTCAGCGTCGTGCGTTTTCAAATCCTCGCAAAGTCACTGCCTGTGTGTGGTCTTCATGTGCCACGCAAAACTCTTACCAGGCTCATCTCACCTTTGCTTGAACAACAAACACAACAATTCAGAAATGTTTTGCAATGAAAAATACAGCTATCTGGAGCTGAAAAAAAAGAAGAAAAATTGTCCTCGGAATTACACACCAGGGAGTCGTCAAATACTTGCACTTGTTGCAGTACTGTATTTGACAACTTCCTGATACACATGTAAACATGAAGAAACTCTTTGTGGTAGCACTCTTAATTTTTCAATTGAAATTATGATTCTGCTGTATTTTATTGTCGTTGCCATGTCTATTGCTATGACGATGCGGTGCCAACACTTTTTTTCTGTCTCCGTCTTTCAGTACTGTATACTCTCTGATGGCCTGTAGAAGACTTTTTTGTTAGGGTGTAGGAGAAATATCTTCATTTTTCCTGTTTTGATAATGATAGCACATCAATATACATTGTGGTCATAATTGTTGGCATTTGGGCTAATTTCAACAGCAGCCCAATGGTCTGCTCTGTGGGCCATGTGATAAATTTGTTATCGCATGGTTGCTGCGGGCCTTATGGCATATTATTGCCCCTCGAGGTTAGCCCTCGGGGCAATAATATGCCATAAGGCCCTTGCAACCATGCGATAACATATACATAGTGCATTTATAAAAGTCCAGACCTTTGGTTTGAAAAAAAAACTTTAGACCAGCAACTATACCACACAAAATATTGGATCCCTTTGTGCATATAATAGGGAGGTTTAGTTCCCACGTAACGGAAACGCGTACGTGGGTGATCCACGTAAAGTGGATGAAGGGCACCCACGTTGCAATGTTGTGTTTAGTCACACGGAACAAACAAAAGCATAAAGCTAAAGGCCAAAACCTGGTCAAAGACGAAGCTACCCCGGCCTTAGAAGCTCATCTAGTATTTTGATTTCGTGCTTCGGAAACTTCTTCAGCTGAGCACCCTCACAGCTCGCACAATGCGCTCCATTCTGATTTTCACCCACGTTCTGGCGGAACGTGGGTGAGCCTCCATACACGGTATGTCGTGAATCAGAAAACGTCTGTACGTGGGTCACTGAGTATCACGTGGTACACCCACGTAAAGTACCCACGGATTACGTGGGACTAAACCTCCCTAATGTCCGAAATTGGGCGCCTGAATATCTAATCGCCTTGAAATCCCTATGAGAAAAATTGGGGGACTGAAAGAGAAATGCCCCGAAGAAATTTCTCAAAAAGCTGAAACCAAATTTGAATTTGTTTTGGAAAGGATCGGGAGAACTTCAAATTCAAAGAATCAGTCGGGGAAGTGAACTGCCTGAAAAGAGAAAAAATCGCCAGACCCACCAGGACTCGAACCCGGAACCTTGCTTGTCATGAGCAATGCTCTAACCACTGAGCTATGGGACCAGGCTGAACCTAGAAGGCGCTGACAATTTGAATTATTCGAAAAGTCTAGAGCTCTCTACTTTTGAAACTCACTTTAGTTGAATTTCGCTACACTAGCACACATCAAGTCTTCCCGGCTCATGAGACCACCTTGGCATCTTGTGCATGTATATTATGGGTGTGTGAATGAATGTCTGTGTGTATATGTATGTGTATGCTTGTGTGTGCGTGTTCTTGTGTATGTGTGTATGTGTGTGTGTGTGTGTGTGTGTGTGTGTGTGTGTGTGTACGTATGTATATATGTGTGTATGTATTTGTGTGTGTCTGTGCATGCGTGTGTGTCTGTGTTCGTGCATGTGTATATATGTGTGTGTGTTTTCGCGAGCATGTGTGTGTGTGTGTGTGTGTGTGTGTGTGTGTTTCCGCGTGCATGTGTGTGTGTGTGTTTTTCCACGTGCATGTGTGTGTGTGTGTGTGTGTGTGTGTGTGTGTGTGTGTATGTGTACTATGTGTGCATGCTTGTGTGCCTGCGTGTCTGGCTTACAGGTCGAAAAAACGTCGAGTCCTAGGTAAGACTCACAGCACGCTGTCCAGTAGCTCACCGCCAACAGAATACACCATGTCCATTGCATCATCAGTACACACAACCGTGTGTGAACAGGACTCTCCTTTGAAAATGAACCCATCTAGGCGAGCAAGCTTCGGCATAGATGAAGATGTGCTGATGGACAGCAAAGAGACAGGTGCGGATAATGCTAAGCCAGGATATGAAAACAGAGCAGCACTGCAAAGCGACAGCACTGCGATGACCACTTCGGCCACGCTGAACTACATGAATGGGCGAAGTCAATGCACAACTCTTTACGATCAAAATATTTATGCGGAAAACGTGGAGCAGACCAACAGGGCTAGTGCCGGTGCTGACCAGATCTACACTCTTCCGGAGTATGCTTTGGCCGCAGTGGCACAAGGCAAGGATTCGATTTCGCATCCGGCTGCCGACCATTATCAACTGGAACCGAATTGGGGTGCAGGTGTGCACGAATACGAAGCGAGTGTCAGTTCAAATCCATTGAAGCAATGCACTCGTAGTCCCAGTTTGAATCTGTACGAAGCGGATGAGAGCACATTGCAGGATTGTCCTGTCGACAGCAATGATGCACACCCTTCTTACTTGGCCTCACTGTCTATAGTCAGCACGGCAGCCGCAACTGGTCAACCGGGCTCTGCCGAGAACGATGACACGTACGGAAATGACACTTATGGCGCCGCCGAGATCAATGACACATATGGCTCCGCCACGATCAATGACACATATGGCTCCGCCGAGATCAATGACACGTACGGAAATGACGCATATGGCGACCTGGAACCTCGCGCCGATTATCTCTATGGAAACAACGACGAAGCTGACGATGATGTCTGTAATAATTATATGTGAGCATCTAGGTCCAAAAGGTGGGATTATGGCATTGCTCTACCCCAGCAGATCACTCTGTAAAAAAACCTAGGTCCAAAATCTTTATCTTTGACAGAGGTCTGGGTGTTTCGAATAAGAGTTAGTGATTTATACAACTCAACTTTCAAATGCATTTTTCTCAATACTGCGCAAAAGGACATAAGCGCCCTTTTTGCATCTAGAGGCTCACATTGTCACTACCATCTAAAGCAACACACGGTCACCTGTGTAATGTGAAACAGTCACCCGATCAGTTTTCTCTGATTAAACATAGCCATCAGTACGTGGGGAAAGCCCGCGACACCCCACGATTCAACATTGAACACGTATGCGAATGAGACAAACATCCTGAGCCCTACCACCACAGTGGACGCAGCGTCAAATGATGGGTTTGACGAAAAATGACACAGGAACTGTTTTAACTAGGTTGGACGGTTTATTTCTTCATTTTCTTTTTAGAATTTTCTCCTTTATTTACTTCTTTCGAAGGTTGTATACCTAAAATGTTGGTTCGTAGTGCACTGCCGCCACCCAACCTACTTGAAGTGGCCCTATCTTTTTTTATTGCAACACACCAGGTTTCAAACCCATTCTTGTCATTCACACATTACAGTCATGATGTATATGTACACACGCACGCACGCACACACACACACACACACACACACACACACACACACACACACACACACACAGGCCCGCACAGTCCTCCCCTGGCCTTAGCTGAGCCACCCAGTAGCGGAGAATTCATGGGCACCCCACACAGAAGTACGCGGTATTATTATTAAAGAAACTACGGTGTTACAATTCGCTTCACCGTTTTTTCACGCAATGGAAATTATACTCCAGAACAGAGTTCCTTGTATAATCGCCAATTGCTCATTACAGGTTCCACTCCATCTAACAATTTTGACTTATCACCAGTTTTTATGCAGTATGTTAGCGCTGTGCACATGTTATCGCGATGTTGCTTGAGATCTTAGACTGCCATGCACATACTTTATGTTTACTCAATCTGCGTTCAAATTTTATGTTTTATCTCTTCTCATGATCACACTATCACTTCGCAGTTCCGCGATGCTACTTCGATAGTTTTACCTCCATGCCTGCAGCTCCATGAATGCGCAGGGCATGACCATTTAGATGTTGGTATACACTCGTCTGCCTCTGCCTGTGTATGACTGTCTCTGTCAGTACCCCCCCCCCCCCCATCCTGCACGATTTTTAACGTTATTATTGATTATTAGACACCCTTAGCAAACAACCTTATGTTGTAACGGTATTACCGTACGGGGGAAAATACCGTGATTTGGGCTCGACCTTTAGCAAGATGCACTTAGTAAGCTGTTGCCACGAGAATAGCTTTTACTTCGCGCATTACAACCATTTATGTCACCATATACGCGATACAAGGTGAAGTGCGTATGGACTATGCAATATTTGGCCAAAAAATCGTACCGTTGGTCACAACGATAAATCAGCCCCCATAACGTTTTTACACCGCAGCTTCAACGCTATTTGGGTGATCAAGGTACATGTACGAGTACCGTAAAAAATAGCGTTACCGTTGTTTGCTAATGGTGTCTTTTATTGTTATTTGAACAAAAGGCGAGGAGACAATAAATTTGATAACCGCAATCAATAAGACAAGCTGAATTGACATTAAAATTTTGTGTATACTTTATTCATGCAATGTAAAACGGTGGAGACGATGTGCAATAAAACGATGAAAATAGGAAGAAATAGTGTAGAGAAAAAACTAGGACTCAAGCAAGTTTTCGTACAACACTCATCAGGAATAGTCGTTGTAGATGTAATAAAAATATAAGGGCGCGTTCAGACTACCGATAAAAAGTGACGGAATGGGAAAGTTTCCAAGGTGATTTGATCACGTGACGTTACTGGCACGCTCCCGGCGGAAAGGTTTTACAGCAGCCGCGGCAGTAAATTTTTCCGGCAGTAAAAAAGTGCTGAGGCTGCATGCGCGCTGGGAAAAAAGGGAAAATCCCTTGTCAGTGCCGCGGTGAGAGCTGCGAAACTTCACGGTTATAACCATGGTAACATTAGTTTGCTATCGGTAGTGTGAATGTCCTTCACGGTTTATCGCTATTCACGGCAGTCGGAACGCGCCCTAAGGCCGTCATCACACCACGTTCTCCGACTCCCGTTTACGTCTACGTCTATGGTGAAAAAACCAAAACGGGTGGTCGTGTCATCAGACAGGCACAGTTCTTGACGCGTACACGCAGTCAGGTTTTTGGAGAAATTTGAACCCACGTACATCGAAGTACAGGGTCGCTCGGAAAAAGGCTGGGGTAGATACGCACGTTCATACAAAAAGTCGTATACCCCCCCTCTCCATACCACGTCTACGTCTCCCGTTTCCTCTGCTCCCGTTTTCACCCCGTATACGGATCATCATGACAACCGACCAAAAACTCCTTACGTGGACGTAGACGCAGCGCTTTGTACCATGGTGTGCAGCGCTTTGTACCATGGTGTGATGACAGCCTTAGGCTGTCATCACACCATGGTACAAAGCGCTGCGTCTACGTCCACGTTAGGAGTTTTTGGTCGGTTGTCATGAAGATCCGTCTACGGGGTGAAAACGGGAGCAGAGGAAACGGGAGACGTAGACGTGGTATGGAGAGGGGGGGGGGTATACGACTTTTTGTATGAACGTGCGTATCTCCCCCAGCCTTTTTCCGAGCGACCCTGTACTTCGATGTACGTGGGTTCAAATTTCTCCAAAAACCTGACTGTGTGTACGCGTCAAGAACTGGCGCCTGTCTGATGACACGACCACCCGTTTTGGTTTTTCACCATAGACGTAGACGTAAACGGGAGTCGGAGAACGTGGTGTGATGACGGCCTTACACGACAACGCCCGAAAACGATACCTAAACGGAATGAAATGGAAACGCACTTCAAAGTGTTTTGAAACGTTTTCAAAACGTTTTCGCTCTCGTTTAAACGGTGAAAACGATTGGAAACGGAGCACGGTCATGGAAATCATTCAGTGGGGGACTATATTTCGCGGGAAATACCCAACCCTTGCGACCACCAGTACGTACCAACTCCATCTAACGTTATAAGTTATAACGTGTTACTTTCCGCCCTTGCGCCAAGCCAGCACGTGATAACTTCAGCCTGATTGCCTGTTTTCCGTTTTTGTGTGAACGGTTCAAAACAATTTGCCGTTCTCGTATAAACGGTTGAAAATGATTCGAGGCCAGCCCGTTTTCGTTTCGTTTCGTCTCCGTGTAAACGCAGCCTGAAACAAAATTAAACTATTATAGAAAACCTAAGTTAGAGAAATAACACCAAGAACAACAGCAGTGAAATTTACAAGTGTGAAATTTAAAAATGACAGCGTGAGCAATCATGAATGCGTGTGTTAACAATAATTAACTAGCGAATGAAAAAATGAAAAACAAAAACAAAAGAAAGAAAAAGGCGAACGTTGACTTGCGGACGGCTTGTGAGATATTAACAGCTGGGTCAGTGATGCCCATGAAGGCAGCCACCCGCTCCACTTGTGTCTGCAAATCTTCTTTCATGTCCTCATAGAACGCCCACAGCACATCGGCATGGGCGTGACGTGGCCACCAGGATGTCACGTGATGGTCTGGCCCGGACACCCCACCACCCACTGCTGGCTCGCCCAGTCTCAGGGTGCGTTTACACGACAACGATTGAAAACGATTTGTGTTTACCCGACAACGAAGTACGACCTAAACGGAAAGAAATCGGTGCGTTTACTGCTATCGTTTACACGGCAACGCCCGAAAACGATACCTTAACGGAACCCCAGGCACATGAGCCGTGCCAGCGTAGCATAGGTGTGTGCACTGTGATGCACTGATCAAAATGATGTATCACATGTGGATATGGTCACGTGACCCACTGAACCTGGATAAGAAGACCACCTGGCCACGGCGACCACTTTTTCTCGTCCCTTGAGGGGTCGCCTTAGACAGGTTTCACTGTATGTTTAGTGCTAGGGCTGCGTAGCGCCCCCACGCTATTTTATTCATGAGGTTGGATTTCTTTGACCAGCACTGTACGTGTAATAGGTAGCCGAGTGGTAGGCGCGGTGAAATCAACAATAATTACTTTTATTCTACTTTCAGGTACACACCTGAGATATAATCGTTCGTGAAAGAAGAAGCGGCAAAATAACTGACTTTCTCTCCGGTGCTCACCTAGAGGCTGAATCCTTATTCTTCGAGTTAGCTTTCATTGCTATCCAATCTAATCTAATCTTCTCTTCATCAAAACAGAAATGCGCAGCCGCTTTTATGCAGCAGACGACGTACGCTTACATACGGAGATACACTAAATATACATCAGGCAAGCTCCGTATTAGTTCCGTACTGCTTCCGTATTGGTCGGGCAGGGATACTACACCCTCCCTTCCTACAGATTATCACGCCCTCGTGGTTTTCAAAAAATTAGTGAAGAGTTACGAACACAGCGTCAACCGGAAGATGGCAAATTATATCGGAAATGATAACGTTTAGAGTAGACAGAAGAAATGAACTGATAACAAATCATAAAGTAGAAGCACACCAGGTTCACACGATCTCACGGGGTCAAAAGGGGAAAGAACTGTTCTCCAAATTGGACCTGAAAATCCACAGCACTCTTGCTGCACAACGCTGGCACAACCCGCCAGGAACATCGCAGGTCAAAAACCGAACTGAATACACTATACCTATAAGGGGCGTTGTCACACACATTGTCCCACGTTAGCCGGGTAAGCCGTGGCTCACCATGATCAGACGCCTACCAAACTAAACTGGATTCACACACTCGCATAAAGGAAGACTGAAGAGAACAGGGAGACTGAAGGAAGACAGGAAAGAAAATGCCATACCTGGAATCAGCGTTAGTAACCACGGCGGCGGCTGGAGCTACGGCGGAGAGCAAGCCACGTTTTATCTTCATCTTGGTTGAGCCGGTCACTCAGAGCGGCTAGCTCGGCATCAGACAAATGACCTCCCTCCTCGTCTTGAATCGTGGTCTTCACATTGTCGATAGCATCGCTTTGCGTGACGTAAAGAGTGATGGTCTAGCCAGGAAGAGTGTTGACGAAAATCTGCATTCCACCACGGAGGCGAAGTACCAAAGTGAAGAGTGGGCTCCTGCTTCCGACTGCGTGCCGGGGAAAATCAAACGCTGCTGGTCTTGGGGAATACCCTCCCTTGATTCGTCGCAGGGAGCTGCAGCGGGTTGAGCCATGGGGGTCTGGGGTCGAATCACGTTGTTTTATTTAAAACTACACCGCTGCCACCAATGTAATGGGTAGCCGAGTGGTAGGCGCGGTGAAATCAACAATAATTACTTTTATTCTACTTTCAGGTACACACCTGAGATATAATCGTTCGTGAAAGAAGAAGCGGCAAAATAACTGACTTTCTCTCCGGTGCTCACCTAGAGGCTGAATCCTTATTCTTCGAGTTAGCTTTCATTGCTATCCAATCTAATCTAATCTTCTCTTCATCAAAACAGAAATGCGCAGCCGCTTTTATGCAGCAGACGACGTACGCTTACATACGGAGATACACTAAATATACATCAGGCAAGCTCCGTATTAGTTCCGTACTGCTTCCGTATTGGTCGGGCAGGGATACTACATACGTACATGTTAACTAAACGCTTGATGACCAGAATGATGAACCGTCTAGACCAGGGAGTAGTAAATTACCGGTATTTTACTACTCCCTGATCTTAACAGACAACACTCGTACTACATGGTAGGTTTTAATTAACTGAATGCAGTTTTTTTTTTTTTTTTACTATGTTCACATACCCAACTCATAATAATACAGAAGACAATGGTACCGTGAGACAAGGACAAGCGTGACAACTACTGAGAAGGGGCTGCACCGAGTTACAGCAGTGATGGTGGGGCATTGATGGCTCTGCCGACCTGAGGTCTCGGCATCACGGCCAGAAACACGCACCAAAAACAAAAGATAGAGCTGTAAGGGTCAGCAAAAATATAAAAAAGAAAGCAAGGGCAAGCAACAGCTAGTACTAGTGTGCAGCGCAGCAGCATTTTGTGTGTTCTGTCTTCTAACTACAC